CGCAGCGTTGGCGAGTGAGTTGCCCATGATGTGGGTGAAAGTTAAAAAACTTTTTTTCAGGTTGGCCAACAAGAGAATGATAACAAATGTCAATTGGTGACATTTTAACCGATTCTGTAGAGCACATTCACGTCTCTATACAGTGGGAGTTGCACTGTTTTCTATAAAGTGCATTCTTGTTATTAATATTAAAATAAGCAGCCACTCGTATCTCAGCTGGAGTCAGTTTCGGAAGGCGAAGTACGCAGTAAATTATTGGATTGAATGGATGCTGTTTTATTGATTTGTTTAACACATTTAGTTATCTGCAATAACCAGTCCCTTATTTCTATCAAATCCACATGTACTGGTAGTGGTTTTGGACAATAAGGCTGCTACAAAATGTTAAATGTAGATAGAAATTGAGTTAATTATTTATAGCGGATTCCGCCATTATAAATTAACTCGATATACAAAGATTGATTTACTGACATTTAAGTATGACTTTAGCTACCTATAGGAGAATAATTCTAAAACGTGTCTACCTGATAAGTACTAAGATCGAGTAGGATATCATATAAAATAATTTTATTCATATATTCCATATAAACGTTTTATAATTTAAATTACAGTTAATTTTCCTTATTTGAAAACAAGAGATTTTTTGTTGCAAATGTTTAGAAAAGAATTTGCTCTTATTCTTGTTCTTATTATTCTGTAGGTATATCAGTCTCGATAAACATTCGAAAACACGTATTTGTAAAAACAACTAGAACAAGATTAAGTCTGCAGGAGGGAATATATTTAGTAAGGCTCCCCCGCGAAGTTGCGGTAATACTTATCCACGTGGGTGCTTAATTACAGTTAGGTACCACAGTGAACTGTATTGAGTCAGTTAGAATATTGCAGCAACAAAAGGTAATAATTAATGATCAAAGCAAACCATTTTCCGGTAGACCATTGCGTGTATCTATATTTCAGAACGAAACATTTACAATCAGTATGGAAAGTGGTACAAATTTAATAGACTTATATTCTTTCTCTATGGTAAAAAATGGTCTTGTTCATTAGCCACTCCCATTTAAGGCAATATACATGGGTACATGATGCTCAACCCAGCATGGCCTACCGCAATAAGATCGAGAATCAATGTTAGGTATTAATAAATAATGTGAATGGATGGTTATAAATGATTATCATCTTTTTATGCTCTTTAAAGGGAATGAGTTTATAAAAAGTATCCTTAATAACGCCAATTTCATTCATTTAAACAATACAATACAAATAAAATAATTCGAAGTGGTCTGTATTCTGTCGAAACTGCCAGACGCGGATCGCGATTTCCATCTATTTGGATCTCATCAGTGCGTCGCAGACAGCTCCCACAGAACACAGACCAACATCGTACTACAGGTGGCGTTTACCGCGCCATTTGTGGTATTTTCTAAAACGCGCAGTTAAGACAGCAGGTAAAAGTGTGTTCTTTTGGAGCTGTCTGCGACGCGCTGATGAGATCCAAATAGATCGAAATCGCGATCCGCGTCTGGCAGTTTCGACAGAATACAGACCATTTCGAATTATTTTATTCGATTATGGTAACGTGCCTATCACGTTGAGGTTTAGCTACGCCGGGATTCGTTTCAGCAAGTAGATATCCACACAAGTGGACCTTGTTGGAGCATACGTAATCCTAAAATGTAGCATCGTACTACAGATGGCGTTTACCGCGCCATTTGTGGTATTTTCTAATACAATACAAGAACACTGTTACATAGTTTAGGTTTATTTAGCCATTTTCTTTGTTCTGTTTATTTGTTTATATATATTTCTATTGTGTAGAGACGTACATTGCGTTAAAAAAAGTTTTAGAAATAGTTTTCCTTTGCATTTCTAATTTTTCTTGTGTGCAAAATTCAAAATTAAAAAAAAAAACACAAATTCCTTGTTTAAATAAAACCTTACATTTTACCACACGTCGATGCCAAAAATACATGTAATTCACGATGGTCAAAGTCAATTTTATACATACAACAATTTCATTAATATAGTAATTTAACCTGCAGTATTTAATGTAAAATATCCCCTATTTTGATCGCCTATTTACTCTCTCAATGCACAATTTATTTCACGTACTACTCGTGTTGTACCCACATTAGCCTCGTCACGAGTCCATCAGTACACCGTTACTTGACTAAAGCTTTGGTCATGTGCCTATTGTGTTCGTTCACTTAGATTTTTTGAAAGGAATAATGCATGCTACATTTCCAACGAATTGCTCATTTAAAGACTAAATGCGACAGGAATGTTTTTTAAATTACTAGCGCTGCTGTCAGGGAGCAGTAGTGGTTGACAAATTGATGTAATTTATCTGGCACGAAATCCTTCTATGCAACTGCACACAAAAAAGTACCTATTTACCATACAAGCGAAAATTTGCATAACGCTTATGGGTACGTTGAAGAATATTTAGTGCTACTTTCAGAGTAATGTTCATTTACCATTCACATGATTTTAGAAACAGTCTCATTATTCAAATGAATCAGAAGGAAAGACATCTCCTAACGCTTTCCACATGTTAATTAAATTTGTAAATGGCAAAGTGATGGAAACATTATTATTGTTTACGCTTTCTCTGAGAGACCTTATTAATTGTTACATATCATACGTCAGCTGTATTATAAGTATTTTTAAAAATTTATAAAATTAAAATCTTTGTTAGATTATTTCTGTAGCTAAGGTTTATGGAAGCTTTTATAACCTACTATATATCTATAAACATAAAAATAAAATAAACGTTTTTGAGTAACAAATAGACAATGGATATTACGATTAGATCCCCAAAATTTTCATTTTTAGGTATTTTATAATAAATACAAAAAATAATATATTACCACAAACGCAATTTAGGGGCAGTGTATTCGGTTTGAGTGGCAATTCACACCCAAGTGGAAATATGGGTTTGAAAATAGCCACGCATCCACAATAAACTGAACCAAAGTCCGAAGTACATCACGAGGCCAATTAACATTAACTACACCACAGAAGAAAAGTATAAAAAATTACAATTCTCAACAAAAGATTGAAAGCTAACAACGAATTATAAAAGGGTAGAAAGGGTGGCGGGGTGACTTCTGTTACTCACAGGGTGCTAAATCGCTGAATATAAAATTACAATTTTTCAGTCGAAGTTTTCCTTGTTCCACAATAATTTTTTTGTATCAAAGCTTTAAGAGTAATTTCATATCGGATTATGCCTACGAAAAAATTTGTCAGAGGGTCTAACGGTTATTTATAGGCTGCTAAACCCCTCAATATTAAATTACAAATTTCAGTGGAAGTTTTTCTTGTTCCACAATAATTTTTGGTATCATAGCTTTAAGAGTCATTTCATATTAGATTATGCTTATGAGATACTTTGCCAAAGGTTATTAATCGGGTGCTAGACCCCTCAATGTTAAATTACAATTTTTCAGTGGAAGTTTTTCTTGTCCCACAATAATTTTCTGTATCATAGCTTTAAGGGTCATTTCATATTAGATTATGCCTATGACATAATTTGTCAGGAGCTCTACGGGTTATTCGTAATATGCGAAATTCTCCAAAATTAATTATTTTTTAGGGGATGTTGTTGCGCCACTATTAGTTTTTGTATGTATGCTTAATACTTTTTTATTGATGATAAATAATCATCAACAAGAACTTCGAAATCAGTATTTCTGTTATGTCAAATATGTGAATTAGGTTTCTAATAATTTTTTTTGCAATTCTTAGACCCTGGTTATGCTTTAAAATGAGTGCGTATATTTAAAAGAAAAAGACATTTCTACGTGTCGTTTAATGGAATATCAGCTCAGGTGTTGTAAACTTTATAAGGATGTATTAAAAAGTAAATTCCTTAGGCTTTGGCCTTCCCATGTATGCATGTAGGTACTTGATTTGTAAAATATTCCAAAGGTATTTTATGTATGTTTAGTCCTTAGACATCTTGTAACAAGAATAAAATTTCACGGACAATAACTCTTTTAAAATGGCGATCATATCTTCTTAATAAAGATAATAATCGACCCAAATTTTAAATTAAATTCTGATTTTAAGTCGGTAAACATTAGTTAGCAGTTGAATAAAACAAAAGCTTTTATCGTCTATAGAAGTGTCAGAAAGCCTTTTCGTTATTACAAGTTGGCCTTGGTCAGAAAAGAATGCAATCAGGCCCTCGATTTACTAACATTTTCTTAGATTACTAGATCTTTATGTTGCACGTTATAGTACAATAGACACTGCCATATAGCAATCGCGGCTAGCTGTGACCTTTGTGTGTATCATGCAATTACTAGCACCGACTGCCCCGCCTACGAAAACTATGAAAACTATTGCGAGAGTTGAAACAAACAGAAAAAAAACAACAGCCTGCGTTTCGTTTTGTAATATCTGACCAAGTAAAACGCCAAACAACCGCCTTTTCTAATCTAGATCTCTTCTTAAGCCGAATTAGTAGAGTGCACTTGATGTGTTGTTATTGGGTGAACTACATTTTATCGACAAGTGAAAGGCAAACAAAATCATGTCATTTACGAAAAGCAATTGCGAAAAAATAAACTTTGTTTGAGTGTTTTCTATATCAAGTAAAGTAAATCACGACAGGGCCGAGCTTGATCGATATTTGGCCCGTGATTGTTTAATTCTGGTCAAATGCCTGGGCTGTCAGTTCGGCATAAGGTTGTTTAACAAACTTGAACCACGACTGATAAACCGACGCTGAATCAAGACTTGGTTCTTTACACAAATAAAAACGTTTCAACCCTTAAGTGCTTACATTCTTTGCTTAGTCATATTTAACTAAGAGAAAAAATGGAGAAAATTGACAAGCCTATGCTTAGCTTTTGATCTCTGGTCCAGGTTTGGGCCTGTCACCAAGTCCGGCATTTCCTACATGGGCAGTGGCCCCTTTAAAATTATACCTAATAATTTACCTTTGGCTGATCCCACATTTTATAAAACATCGGACATTGATGCTCTTTTAGGTGCTGAGTTATTTTATAATATTTTATGCATAGGTCAAGTAAAAATCGAAAATCAATCAGCCGTTTTGCAAAAAACTAGGTTTGGATGGATCATTGCAGGTAAAATCTCCAATCAAAATACACGTAGTCCTAAGGTTTCATGTAATATTGCAATTAATTCAGTAAATGACCAATTATCAAAATTTTGGGAAATTGAGGAGATGCCTGAAACAAAATTTCTTTCAAACGAAGAAGCAAAAGTGGAACATCACTTTTTAGACAACGTAACTCGCGATAATAACGGAAGGTACATTGTAAAATTACCATTCAATGAACAGAAAAAACATCTTGGTGATTCATATTCAATTACATTAAAACGATTTTATGCATCAGAACGCAAATTACAAAAAAATACCGAACTGAAAAATCAATACGTACAATTCATGCGAGAATACAAAAATTTAAAACATATGTCTGAAGTTACTGATCATGAAAATCATCCTAGGGGTTATTATCTTCCTCATCATGCAGTAATTAAAGAAAGCAGTTCAACAACCAAGGTTCGGGTAGTATTCGATGGGTCCGCAAAATCAGACACGAGTACATCGTTAAATGATACTTTAAACATAGGCCCAACAATTCAAGAAGAGTTATTTTCTATACTTATTCGTTTTCGAAGTCATATTTATGTTTTAGTTGCTAAAACCATACAACTGCATGGATTCTGCGATGCCAGCGAAGCTGCATACGGTGCATGCATATACACACGGTCAGTTGATAGCAACAATAAATGCTATACACAATTAGTATGCTCTAAAAGTAAGGTTGCTCCCTTAAATTCAAAAATTACAATACCGCGACTTGAACTATGCGCAGCATTATTGCTAGCAAGGTTATACAAAATCATTTTAGTAGCTTTACCTATTACATTTGACGAAACATTCTTTTGGTCGGATTCAACTATAGCGCTGAATTGGATAAATACACAACCAAATGTCTTAAAAACATTCGTCGCAAACAGAGTATCCGAAATCAGATCGATTACTAATTACTCGCAATGGAACCACGTTCCATCTAAGGAAAATCCAGCTGACTTTATTTCACGAGGTCAAACAATTTCAGAGTTTTTAAACAACAGCATGTGGAAGACTGGTCCAGAATGGTTGCGAAAAAATGTAGATAACTGGCCGAATTTACCTATTCAAAAAATCCCCCTATTGGAAGTTCGTCCACAAATAGTACTAAATATTTCAATAACCGATACAAGCATACTACAAAAATTTTCTAATC